TTCGCCAATTGGTCGATTGGCGAATGTCTCGTGGCGAATGTCTCATTGACATTCGCCAACTTTTTTGGACATTCGCCTATTGGCGAATGTCTACTGGCGAACATTGGCGAAAGTTGAATTGGCGAACGGCGACACATCCTATCATAACCATCCTGTTTTAACCAATTGTCAGTAGAATGAATCTTACTATCAAATATCTACCAGAGATGCACGAGACAATGTTTTCTCACGTCCCGTCTCGTCAAAAATTTTCTAAAACGGGTCCCGTCCCGTCGTAACCCGTAAAGACTTAATCCAGTCTCGTCTCGTCTTCACGGTTATTTCTGACATCATACTACAGCACACAGCTAACAGTCTTGCGACACTTTCTTTCTTTTTTTCTATAAACTTCTTGTATAATGAAGACGGAGATGAGAAGAATGTTGTGGCCGATAGTGGAAAAGAGGTATGACATATAGATGGCACAGAAGAGGATTTGGATGGTGTGGTGGACTAGTATCGATGTCATCGATTGTTCTCTTAAAATTCAACATCATCTGACCAAGTGGGCATTTGTGATGATTCAAACCATTAGTTGAACTGTCTTCCAAAACGTATGTGATAACACTCCATGCAGCTAGCCATCTTACATGAAATTCACTATTTTCATCTGTTTCAGCCGGAAAGCCGAATGTATCTCATATTGATGATTTTGTTTCAAACAGATTATCAACAATTTTAAACTTCAACAATTTTGCGTTATTTCAATAAAAAATAGTAAAGAAAAAACGTAAGGTTTTATCATCGTTCAACATTCTATCTCGCGCATTGTACTGAACGAATTTTCTCAATAAATTTAACCAGGAAAACCTATGATTATTCGCTCGGGAGCTAGTGAATACAGTTTTGAAAAAACAGCTCTTAATCCGTCTCGTCTCGTGAGCATTTCGTCCCGTCTCATCAAAAATTTTCTGAAATCTATCCCGTCCCGATCAGAATCGTCGAGACGGATCGGGACGAGACTATCCCGTGCAACGCTGTTATCTACATAATATAACAAAATTGGTTTGAGATTTTTGCTAGATCAAAAGAGGATACACTTAAAGTACAAATAATACTTTGATAGTTGTTCATCTAGAACCTAGATGCTCCGAATGGGCTGGGTTAAAACCGGCCCGGCCCATGGCCTACCAGGGGCGGGATTTTTTGCACAATCAGAACCATGGGTCGGACTGGGCCACTACCTATTATAATGGGCGCCCATGGACGAAGTTCTCTGCCCATGGGTTGATGTATTGATAAACCGCTATTTTACCACTAGAGGTCGCGTGAGAACGATCTTTTTACTTAAAGAATAGTAATTGTGCTTCTTATTCTCATTTCTCTTTTCACTTTTTCCTGCCTAAAACTATTTTCATACAGAGAGATTCTCTACTGTTCTCTCAAATAATAAAACATAATGAATATGAAATACAGTGTGGTCCAAAAGTGGCTTTACCAACGTAGACACATATTATTCTGTACTTTTTCATTTTGATTGAGCTCGTTTTTATACTAAAAGATTCCCCGTTGAATTCTCTACAAAAAATGTATTGACTATTTCATTGCAAAGTCCAAAGATGCAAAATGCCATGAGAAATTGTGAGAGGTACCAAAATGTAGAAAAAATAAACGTATTTTCTCAAAGAGAGCGAAATTTTTTCGAATGGTTTCACAAGCATTAAAACATAGTTTCAGTATAGTTTTGTGTAGTTTCAAATACGCTCTTTCTCGCCGTGTAGAGCGAAAATCATTTGAATCTAAATATCCGACGCAAAGATTAACTTCTTAGCAAACAAGTGAAAATAGCAAAAGTTGTTACCTTTTTGGACTAAAACAATTTTTTTTCCAAATTCTAGAGATCCGATCATAACGACTAATCATTTATTTTCAAAATTAAAAAAATCAACCTGAATAAATCAGGTTTGACTAATCTTTATTTGTTTTATTAGAAGACTCAAATTATTGGTAAAAAATCGTCATTTTTTTGAAAAATTGACAAAAAAAGTGAAATTCTTGCGTTCTTGTTGTTGTGAAATTCTTGTTCCTCAAGTTTAACTGAAAATTATTTAAATTATAGGTGGAAAATTCAGCTTTTCGAGGTGTACACGATGACTACTTCCGCTTTTCTCTCTTACAAACTTTTAGCAGATAATACTAAAAAAAACTGTTAACTACGTTTATTTTTTCAACATTTTGGTACTTCTCACAATTTCTTATGGAATTTTGCAATAAAACAGTCAATATATTTTGTAGAGAATTCAACGGGGAATCTTTTAGTATAAAAACGAGCTCAATCAAAATAAAAATGTACAGAATAATGTGTATCTATCTCGGTAAAGCCACTTTTGAACCACCCTGTATTTATCACCAATTGGAATCAATTGTAGATAAATATTGCCTACACCATGATTTTTTTGTTTATTTTTGAACTAAAGATAAAATGTTATTTAAACAGTATAAGACGAGCGCCTAGTCTTCACATAGACAATCGTAAATAATTATTATTTTAACAAGAATGGTTAATACTATGTTCATTTTGTGACTCTAAATGTTATGACGTTTAAAGATAACAATAAATAAATTTAATATAAAAATCTGTAGAATGAATATTTTATGAAATAATAGATTAAATTTTTAAAATTTATACTATTTAATTTCTTAAATAAAATTTTTTAATATTCAATTGAAGAAAATTGATATTTGAAGACAAAACATATCCTAGAGAGATATATTAATAATCCTATAAATTTATTTTAATAAATTTTCAAAATTCTACACACAATCCATCATAGCCAAGTTCAACTTTCATTTTTCCTATCTCATTTTTAAATTCATTTTTTAGTTTTTCATTCATCAATGTATGATCAACAGTATGATTCATTCCGACAAAATAAGTATGTTTTGGCTTAAACTTTCGAATAAATTCAATTGAATCTTCATAACAAAAATGGGATGGATGTTTTTTTTGATTTATATCAAATAATAAATCTAAAAATAGTATATCTAAATTTTCAAAATAATGTAAATTTTCTTCTGGAACAAATTTAACATCACTACACCAAATAATTTTTTCATTATTTGGTCCTGCTAATAAGAAACCTAAACTATTACCCAATCCATGATTAACAGTAAATACAGTTATAAAATAATTTGGAACAATTTCTATTGGTTTATTTTCTACCATTTCTAAATTTTTTAATGCTGGAATTCCACCGCCAATTTGTTTTGCATTTTCAACAGATGATTGAAAATAGGGAAAATGTTGTACAATTATTGTCGTATCTTCTTTTGTCATATAAACTGGTATAACTGTTCCACCATGTTCAACATTCAAACACCAATCTCTTAAATCATCAATTCCAAATGAAGCATCTGCATGACAATGAGAAATAATAACTGAATCCAAATGTGTAATATTAAACATAGGAAACCATTCCATTGCACTTGGATAAAAAAATTTACCACAATCAATTAAAACATGATAAAATGGTGTTTTATGAGTTTTATCTTGTTGTGATTCTTTATGAGGATTAGGATTTGTTATTTTTAATAGTAGACTTGTATTACGTCGAAAATTTTTTGAACGTTTATTATTATTATTGTCTAATTTTTCAGATTTAAATGGATTTGCATCATGACATACTTGACAATAATTATTTTCAGATTTTTTTGTTAAACATGTTACACGAGGAATACCTTCAGATGTACCACTACCCAAGACGATTAAGTGAGAAAGATGTGTTGCATGTTCCATCTACAATGAACAATAAATTCAATAGTTTTTAACTACCAAAAATATTTAGTTGACAACGATGTCTCATGTGGTTAAAAGAGAAGAGGGAGAGAGAGAGAACTTTGATCTTTGACTTTATTATTAAAAGACAGTTTATCGACAAATTTCTCAACGGTCTGTATGTGATTCATCGTTATTTTGTGCATTTGTTTATATCTTTTTATTACTTTTATGGTTTCACGTGATATTGTCTATTCAGTACATGAAACAAAATGATAAGTACGAAAAACTTACGATTACTTTTCTTTCTCACATGTAGACATTACTTCACTATACAAACATATATTTTTCAGAGAGAAGAAAAACAAAAAGTATTTTTTCTATCTTTCCATCTACGTCTAATGACTCACACCATGGTGTGGTTACTTCTAAGAAGAACAGCAGAAATCGACGAATGTAATAATGTCAATATTCTAACGTTATTTAAAAAAAATTCTTCTAAAAAACTGTCTCGACATCTACGGTACGGGACGAGAAGTTGATCGGACGCAAGAAACTTTGAAGTTCCAGAAATCTGTTTTACACTATTTGATTAGATCAGAAGTGAACGGAAATGGCAAAATCCAAATTGGCTGCTCCATTAAAAATACGATGACGAAAAGATTTTTGGAAAGAGGTTAAGAATAGCGCGTCAGAATTTTAGAATTACTGCGTCGACTGACGTTTATTGTTCGTACTAAGAAAAATACTCATCTACAATTTTAATCCCTATTTTTCAGTCGATTATAATAGATGGCACATGAAGAATGAGGCACATGAAAAATGAGTATTTTTCCTTAAGGTATTTATTATATAAAAAATTTCAATAGTAAATTTCAATATCTAGAAAACATGATTATTGACTTTTGTACATCAGTTTTCTTCCTGTCAAAAATCGAGAGAAAAATGAAAATGTTTCATTCGTTAAAACTGCTATGGCATTGGAAAATGTAAGGTTAAATTCTCTGATCAGATGAAAATTGAATTGTATTTTTATCAAAAGAAGTTTCTGTGAAGTTCTGCATTTCATGGCTTTTGAAAAATTGTAGAAATTTTGTACTCTATAAAAAGAAAAAGATACCGTATGAAACTTTAAAAGGGTTTCGTAAATTGAAACCATTTCTACTGTCTAACAACAAAAACAACCAAAAAATACAAGTATCACAAAAAAATTCAGAAATATTTTAGACCTCTGGACTCTTTGGAGGGTCTCGAGGAAACTGTGTAGATCTACATTGGATTACGAACCTTATACATCAAACCAGAGAAAAATTCACAACATATTTCAGACAGCGAACGCCGACCAAAGGGAATCATGAGCCTTGTCTTTGATTCAAAAGTCATGGAAGATCGTTCGCAGATATAAGTTCCTAAAGTTAGGGAACAGAGCGAATGCAAACGAGCGTTACCTTGTCGTGAACACTGCGCTAATAAATGGAAAAAATAAGCACCCTCTCATATGAGAGTAGTACAGAGAGAGGTATAGTACGCAATGTTTTCTACTACTATACCTTCAAGAGGTGTATTACGAAACCTGTTCGAGTACAAAACCTTGAAACTTATGATACAAAACCTTGAAGGGTATCATAGGAATCTCTTCGATTACCAAGTCTTAATGAGGTTTTACATATACGTACCATACCTGATTGGTAAGGGAAACTTCCATAGAATCTTTCAAGTTTGGTACCATACCTGTTCTTTCTATTTGAAGTCATTTGTACTCTATCTTGTAGTTTATTTATTCAATCCAAGGGTTTCGATGTTTTATATACTTTCTTCAGTGAATAAATAACTAAGGAAACACAAAATTGAGCGATAAGAAGTATAAATCTAAGCTGTACCTGATCAAGAAAAACATTTTATTGAAATCAATCAGAGTATACGAGCAGATTTACTTCATTAGAAAATGTAAAAGCAGTGAATTGATCCCCAAAGGATTTCGAGTCAATACACAAAAGTTTAAGATCACGAATACGTCGGCCGGGTATACTACAAAACACAAGCGTTAGAATCATGAATAGTACTATTAGATACAATTATGAAAATCTCCGGTCATTAAGATGTGAGCTGGATAATATCAAACAACAGCTTAACATGTTTAAGCATAAACAAGAAGATCTTCCGTCCTGGTGCACATTACGTTCACATTTAAAACGAAAATTGTTTAAAAAGTTTTCAAAATTATTAGAAGAGAAAAATAATTCACTCGAAAGTTAATTCTGAGATCTGCAGGGTAGGTGGTTGTTCAGCCCTGATTTTACTCTGTTCTGCAGGAGACGGTGAAGTAAGGATACCCTTCAAATTTCATCCATTTTTTTCTTTGACAAAACTAACGTCAGAGCGTAATTCAATAGATATTAAGTATTGGCACCTTTATAGTACTCTCTAAAAAAAAAGGTACATTACCGAACTTTTTTCTGCTGGAAAAATAAAAAGATATATAGATGGTGACAAATGTTTAAACCTTTTTTACTATGAAACCTTTTTGCAGGTTTCGTAGTAAGTAAGGAAGCCTAAAAAGGCTCCATACTTGAAAGAAGGTTTTGTACTGAACTACGGAACCATGCATGGTATCGCACAAACTCGGGTATTGCTAAAAGACGCGAACACCCACGAACACCCCCAAATTAAAATCTGAGTTAGCCAATCGATAGAGCTCGTCGAGCTGAGTATAGCAACGCCTAACGAACACCCAAAAAAGTTTTTATAGTT